AAAAAAAAAAAAAAAAAAGACGAGCAACCGTTGTTATTAGCATATCACTGGCTTCTTATTCAGCGCACCAGATAGATCTGTTTAGGTAGACACTAATAAGCATTGCTGAGATTTTTAATCACTGCTGAATGTGCAAATAACACAGATATGATGAAACTTTGAAAGAAAATTCCCTCACCATTTCAGTTTTATGTACAGTCTTCAGTGAGGTATCCAGTTGAAAAATTATAATCTCAACGATCGACCGCTAAAGAACGCTTCAAAGGCTGACTTACAGAAATTTTGCTTTAAGGGAGAAGGCACAACAAATAAAAAAATGACGAAAACTGAACCACAAACGTTGACTCCAGCAGAACCACCGCAACCTGCAGCCGATGCTGGAGCGCCTGCAGGATACGGAAACTCACCACCTAAAACTGCAAAAAAACAACCACCACCAACGGCATCAGGTAAACGTCCAACAACATCAGCAGATCCTCCACCGGCAGCAGAAACGCAGCGCCCACCGACATCCGCCAAGAACCGACCTATAACTGCTACAGAAAATCGACCAATAGCATCGCCGAACCCACAAATAGCTGCTCTTCGGGACAAAGACCGTGAAGCTACACAATCACCTGTGGCGATGACTCCAACTCCAACTAACATCGAAATTATTTTCGTCAATGAATTGCCCAAAGTTGTCTTTTGAGCATTTTGGTTTAAATGAACGTTTTAAAATTACTGCCTTTGCAGTGTCTATTTCAAAAAATTTTACTGTTTACCGCAGTAGTCGAGATAATTACTTCATAAGTTTTTCACACTTATTATTGAAATTACATAAGCACCTTCCAAAAAACAGGTAATGGTTTTCAGGTTGGCTTGCCCTGCTAGACTACAAGTAACTTTCAGGCTAAAACAGCTATAATAAATGAGTGATTTAGCACTGAAACGTTTTACATAAAATTACTTTTTTGTCTCTAGAAAAAAAAAGCATTTTTTTTCCCTTAAAACGAATAACAGAAAATATGTAGTGAACCTTACACGTGAATGAAAATACTTGGAGCCTAAGCTTCTAATATGCATAACTTAGCTCACTGTAAGATAATCAAGGCAAAACATAAAATGAACTAACATTTCTAGGAGCTCCAATGTCCGGTCTGTACTCAAGCACTTCGATCACCAATGAAACTCGGCTGTGGCGATGTGATGTGTGCAATTTGTCTTTTACAGTTCAAGTAAGTCTACTGACAAATCCAAAACTGTATTGATTTCCAAAATTTTCCAGTCTCTCACGTTGTGATAAAAATGTTGTAATAAGCGATGCTAAAAAATTGGCATTAAAAACTTGCAAACAGCAAACTTTAGTTGGGCCCACTACACATACATTTAGCTGAATGTTACAAATCGTCTATACGCAATGTTTCACAATGGTTAAATTTCAGCGACGAGAAATGTCCGAGGTGCGCTACGCCAGTCGACAAAAAAGCTGTTCGTATCGTTGTTTGTAACATGAAGACGAATGCATTTAGAATAGAAAATTTCCACAGTTTCATACGGCAAAATTTATTTAAACTTTAACGCCTAATATAGAGCAATGCTAAACCAACAAAAGAGCGGAATATTTTCATTAAAATGTTTGTTCGCCGCAAAGATAGAAGTAGTCTAAGTGCGAAAAAGTCATATTTCTGTTTAGCACCAAAAGTTTTGAAAATATTTTAGCCCGACCCCAGCGGATAGAATTTAATTTAACAATTTTTTATCAGCATAGATTACACCCAGTGCTTGAGAAATGTTGGGATACGTACTTTTTAGGGAATAATTGAAACGCGTAACAGCAACGTAATTTCAGGTACTTGTATTTGAAAAAACTTTCTGTTACACTTTTTGATCTTTTAAAATACTCAAAAATTACTCTCATTCTGGCAAGTTTTTAAAAATTCCAGCCCTTGTTACGCCAAGACCACAAATTAACAGCCGTTGTATGTCTCAAATTCCGACTGTTTTTTACAATTTCAACCTCCTCTCTGTATCTTTTCAAGCAGTTTTGCTATCAGAAATGAATTAAAGAGGAAAAATTAAAATTATTGTTTCAAAACAAATAAAAAAACCTAAAACTAAAAATTTTTGAAAGCAAAATAACGTCACTCTTTAGAAAAGGAATTACAGAGATGCCAGCCAGATTTAAGGTCAACTTTGAATAGCTGCAGTTTCAAGCAACAGAAAATGCCAAAACCATAAGTTTTCTACGACCTGTTAAATATTTAAGAGAAACAATCTGCCTCCATTTCTTCTCAAAAGAATCCATGATTAGTTTAAAAAATGAAAATTTCCATACTGTTTTAGGCTAATAGAACTAGTTATTTTAAAAACAATTGTATATAGCATAGGATTTTGAGCGAATTTGAATTGTTCCCGCTTCTGCCGCTTGCAAACTTGTGGAGGTTACAACATCGGAAAGAAAAGCCTTCATCCAAAACCATTCCTTATAACCAACTATCAGAGTTGAAAAATGTGAAATATTCGCTCTTAAAAATGGATAAATTGACAAGGAACAAGCTCAAGCGGATCCTCTTCAGTTTAGCTGTTGCTCTCTAAATTGCTAACATAATACCAGAATCACTTAACTAACCACGTTTTGTATAATCTTATTAAGGCTAAAAAAGACAAAGAAGTACAAAAAAAGATTCAAGGACTGGAAGTTAAATGTAGTTATTTTGATAACGGGTGTAAATGGACCGGGCCGCTGAAAGAACTTCAGGTATTTGAATTCCTGCTCACTTTTTATCATGTATAACTGCTTGACACATTCATTATTCTCTTTAAACAACTAAAGCGCAAATTTTTAGAATTCTTCAGAAATTCTTGAGGAATATCGGCTGAAAAACCCAATTTAAAGACGGCAGCAAATTTCCGTTCAATAGTAAAAATAATTTAGCAAAATTTTAACTTGCAGAATCATACTTTCAACTGTAATTATGCTGATATAGTTTGTCCAAAAGGTTGTGGTGAAATAATTTCAAAAGTTAATCAAGCAAAACACTTGGCTGAAGACTGTGGTAGAAGAGTTAAAAATTGCGACTTTTGTCAAAAAGAAGTGTCAGTTAAAGGAATGGAAGTACATTTGAAGGTAAGTGTTATCAAAACTTTTGTCAAAACCATCAAGGTTCAGATTTTTTTCTCTTTCCTCGAACGTAGACGACGATTGGCTAAAAAATTTAGTAACTTTTTTTTCAGAAAAGTTGTACAGTACACAAACTTAGTAAGTAACCTGTTACAGAGTTTTGCAGATATGTCCGTCATTTATCATGGATTGTCCATTTCAATGTGGACTCGAGCAGGTCACTAGAGAAGTCGTAAGCAATTACTGGTTTCTATTGTTTCAACCATCGGAATAAGTCATTTACATCTTAAAACCCACACAATTTTTTTAACAAATACTTTAGAATGAAGAGTAAAATCAATTTAGATAAAAAACCATTTGCAAGTATGCCCAAATGCCGAAACTGTTTGCCCATTCGCTCATTTTGGATGCACCTATACGGGAGGTAAAGATAACCTGCAAGAACACATCAGCTCCCAACCAATTCTCCATATGTCGCTTCTTTGCGATGGAGTTCTTGATTTAAAGGTTTCGCTATCATGAGTTCTTCCTTATTCAAAATTAATCCTTAATAAGAAGCAGGTCCAGCAAATAATGTTCAAAATCAAGCAGTTAACCTACCTAATACACATTTTCTTCGACAAAATTTTAGCAGAGCAATTTTAAGCCGGGTAACACATCGTATCACCATCGTATCTCGTGTATCCTTCACTTTGCTCACTGACAAAACCCATCACTGGGCGCGCAAAAGCGAAAGATTACCTTACCATCTCTTTTTAAGCAGGTGTTCCCTTTTGTGCAGAAATTCCTTCTACATAACAAAAAGATTTTAACTTGAAAACATAATGAGCAGACGAATTATGAAGAGAAGAGCCGTGCAAGATCACAAAAATTGCACTGGAATGTTCTCCTCTTGCGAGGCGCACATCCTGATCAGGAACCCGACATCATCGATAAATTTCAGAACAAACTCGTCACAATTACAATAAAAGCTCGGTTTCCCGACCTAATAAAAGTACTACAGAAATTGCGGTTCAACGCAGTTTTCATGCTTTATCCAATTCGTCCTTTTATCCACTTATCGTCAACCCGAGATCATATTTAGTAGAACTTCTAAAAGAAATCTATGCATATCAGGTTATTCAAAAAAGCCAAAAATTCCGTGCTTTCCCGTGCTATTTTAAGTGAACAGTTTGCACTACCTTCGTAAGTTATAACGGAAAATTAATATTTTAATGGCACTGAGAAACAGAACGCATTTATCTTAAGTAGGCGCAGAAGTGCTTAACCGTGTAAGAAAAGGAATTCATGCCTTCAAAGTTAGTCACGCTTAGCCACAACCCACTGTTTCGCCGCTTAAAAAGATGCTAACCTTCTCGGAAACAAAATTGTAAGAGAATTTTCCCAGTTACCGGAAGCAAATTCTAACTTGCGGAAGTTCTAAGAAAACCTAAGCAATCAGATGAAACTCGCAATTTCCCCAAAAGAATCTATTAGTTGTGAAGTTGTACAACTTCAATAAATCCTTCCCTCACTAGCGTCTAATGAGAACCAAATGATGTGAATACACACTTCGCTCAAGTCTCTCACCAGAACGATGAACTACCAAAGTGATATTTTCAGATGCTTCTTTCATCGCTACAATTAAACATAGAAGGAATGGTACGCAACATTGAGACACTTCGAAAACAGGTGCATAATCCACTTTACTAGTTTCCTGATTCTAACACCAGATAAAATTATACCCGCACAGTCTAAAATACAAAAGGCAAACAAAAATTAAGGTGCTATATGTCGCTTATTACAATAAGAAGTAAACTTGTGCATTTAAGTTAAAAAATGTGCTTTTTCTCTTAAAACTACTTGCCTTCGTTTCCTCTAGTGCTTAACCCTGGAGAAACTTTACGGATCACAAATGATCTGGCGTATAGACAACGTAAAACAAAAGCAAAATGAAGCGAGGTCTGGAGCAAGAACAACCATTTTTTCAAACCCATTTATGACTGGAAGACATGGTTATAAAATGTTGTTGAGTGCATCGCTCTATGGAGACGGAACAAGTAATTATACGGTTTTTGTCTAAAATTTTTCGATACGCCTGAATAGCTTTTGTAAAATTCCACTCATAAAAATAATAATTTGAGTGCGAGGACAATACCTGTCAGTCTTTGTTGGTATTATGAAAGGCGAATACGACGCACTACTGGACTGGCCTTTTACACACCGTATTACTCTTACGCTAATGGATCAAGTAAGTTAAAGTATTTCAGACAATCGAATTACAGCATTAAATCTTCACACCAATATGCTTGTCCTACAAAAAACAGCTGTCCGTTGAAACTGTGATCACTATTTTCTTACAGAACCCTGACCCAGACGTCCGTAACAACATCATCTACGTGATAGAACCAAGCCCAATTGCCGCACACAAACCGTTCCTAGACCGACCAATTAGCGAACGAAACGCTTCATTTGGGGCAGTGAAGTTCTGTGAATTGGAAATAGCTGAAAAGTTCATTGTAGATGACGTTATGTTTATCAAATGCGACGTTGATACGAGCAAAATGCACCCAATCTAGCAAAGAACTTTCATGAAGAAAAAGATTCATCACATGCAAGCTGGGTTGAAAGTGGTGAAAGAGTACAATGAAAGACAGTAATAATCTGTTATTCACGATAATCAGTTAAATAAAACTCTTCATCTGCTTTCGCGTACGCTATTTAAACTCTTAAGCAAAACGGGTCAGTAAAAAATATTGAACCGTCAAAGTACTTCAGCTCATCTTAGAAGCTAGCCACACTGCTCGAATGAGATAACTAGAAAAAGTATAAAATTGAAGAGTTGCTACAAGAAAAATGCAAATACAAATTACTATCAAATATAAATTACTTACCTGACAGTGGTAGGCGTAAAATGAGGTTCTAAAACCTGTCACTTCAATCTCAAAGAATTTACAGAATTCTGGGCTTCTTTCAGTGTCCAAAGAATAGACTAAAATGTTACCTGCTAAACTACTATAAAGGAAAAAAGATTTATAATTGAGTAAACAATTAAAATTTACTTGAAGTTGATCCTTATCGCAACAAACCGAGATTTTTTTAATTTCATTAGAACCAGATGGTATGGTTTCAAAATGAAGCTCCGCAACCGCACAATCCTCTTTTCCCAAATTTGACTGAAAAAGCAGCCTCAAAATTTTTGACACAACGCTACTAAAATAGGACTGTCAGAACTGAGATAAAAGCCGATCCTAATCAACTTTTCCAGTAACAGACTTGGAGGTTTTCTTGTCCATGTTTTAACGAAAACGGTTCAGAAATTGACAAACTTCCAATGCTCTAGAGAGTGTCCAGTCAAAGCCTACAATCCGTGGCGGTTCCCATCCGATTGACGACATAATTTCTTTGAGAATATCACGATACTTCTAGAAAAAACAGACGGCTTCACTACACTCAACTCGGTCTAGATAAATTATAGCATAAAGATAGAAAATCGCAAACATTACTCCAACCAACTAATCTGAAATATAGAATACAGGTCAAAAACTAGCTATGCCTCCCCGCTACATTACCTCGCACGAAAATAGTGACCGAAGCCACGCCTTATCGCAGTGCTTCTACGGTTGACTTGTGGTTTTAAAGCG